TATCACCCGACAATTATTTTTATGGAATATTACAAATTACAAGTTTGAATAAATTGATATGGTCGTTGTTGACGTAGTCTTTGCGCCATGGAATCAGAATACATAGATTTCATAAATTTTATAGAAGAAATCCAATCAGAAGCGAAGAAAGGTCTGAAGTATCTTAACGACTTTATATTCCAACATAATCTTCTCATCATCTGTTCAACCGCTCTCTGCTCTTCGCGTTTGGACGAACTTTGGGAAACGCTCTAATTACGTCCTTCAGCGAAGAGAATGGAGACTTAAAATTAGTTGCGAAACCAGCGATCCGGTTTCCTTCTGAAGAGACTGCGCAACGAAATTCTCAGGACATTTTATCTTCATTTAATATCCTCAGATGTTGTGAATTATGGTTTTAACATCCCGTAGTACTTAAAGTAAGAGAAGCAACAAAAATAAAAAAAAGAAAAGTGGAGAGAGGGGAGAAAAAAGAAATCTTAAAAACTATTTAAAAAACGGTAAAACGAAATTCGGAATGTTCCAGAGATTTTTTTTTTATACATCAGCAAGAAATAGACCGTACCGTTAAACAGTTAATGCTTTCGAAGGTAATTCAGAAAAGGTAGTATAAAGAGTTCTCCGTGGAAAATGCGAAAGAATCTTGCCCGCAGCACTTTAAATGAACTTCTTGGATAGTTTGAAACTGCTGCCCCAATTCCAAGGGTGAATCCGAATAATCAGCCTCGCGAGTTTATACGCGAAACGCTCCATCAAAGGTTCAAATCTTAAAGCTAGCAAAGGTTTTAAGCGGTTTCTGCCTTCGATTTGCGATTCGCTCAATGTATTCGTTAATATCGTTTAACGTTTCTCATCATAGAAGATCGAAAGAGCCATTAGTAGTCGGTTCGACTTCTGTAGCCTGCACGTGCAACCACTAAGAGTCTAAGTCAAGTTTTGGTCAGAGTTTTCGATCGACGAGTTTGGAAGACAACCAGCGTGCACAAGCTACTAATCGGCCAGAAGTTAAATCAAGCGAAAATATAGTACAGCTAGTTAGTTACAGTTCGTTGAATAGTTCAACTTTTATTGGTGCTAGGAACGGCGGCGGGCTTTAAGATCGCGAATTCGGAGGAATTGCAGAAAGAGCACAACGTTACACAAATTAGAAGGGAGGAGCGCTTAATGTCCCGTGAATTTTAACTATGTACGACTCTTCTGGCGACTCGAAGATTTTCGCCGAATTTTTAGCACAATTTATCTGCTGGTACATGTCACACGAGCGGCTGTTATTATTAATAGCCGTAGTATATTAGCATTAATACATTCTGTAAGCTTCCTGGGTGCGGTATTTTATCAAATATTCATTATTCAATGATACGTGCTTCGAAGAAAGACCTGTCCTGGAGGTAGAAAATCCATTGCCTTTTGCTCAGCGAACTTGCCTTTTACATACTTCTTCATAAGTAATAACTTTGACGTATTTCTAATAAAAGAAAATCGCAGTTTCAGGAATAGGATAGCCGTGTTTTAGTAACAGCAAATGCATTAACGTGCAGTCTTCTTGACCTATTGTACAAACTTTCCAGGGAAGAAGACAAAAGCAAAACGGAAGACAAAGCGGTATGCCGATGTGACGTCGTAGATCAGGTCCTCTGACAAATCTGTTGATCGCATTCGCGTACCAACGGGACAGCGATCGGAATAGCCCGGATTCGAAGGAGCGATAATTGAAATTGTCAAGATTCCCCGCTCGACAAATTTAGCGCGGACGTGCCGTTGAATCCTCTGCAAGATTTTCGTGTAATGTCAACAACGGAATCTGTGTCGCGACCGAGAGAAAGGAAGAAGGCGAGATGAAAATCCGAAGGTGGAATTTACGATTCGTCCTTAGAAGTCAAAGGTCTTTCGACGATTTCCACTCTATACCGTTTGGTCAAATTACGATTACATTAAATAGAATCTTACGGATACCGTTAACTTTTCGCTCATCCTATGGCGAATTCGGTACATTCGATCAAAATCGGTCAAGCATTTTAATTAGGTTACCGGCTCGGAGACCGATTGACAGTGAAACGAATATAAAACAGTAGAAAACAGTCGTGATGCGATTTGAATCCAAGAGACGACTCAGTTTTATGTTTATGGATATTGCAAAGGCGGGAATCGTGCTGCACTTCCGAAAGAGGGAAAATTGGGGCAAATTGGGGAATTATTCTTCGAGAGAATTGGACATGGAAATCATTAAACTCGGCATTTGCGTGTGCGTCGCCGCATTTATATCGCTTAATTCGTGGCACGTGCATTTTGAACTTTCCCTCCTTTTCTTATCTTCGCTATGGAATTTACATACGGAATTGTCTGCAAATATTAGTGATATGTAGACCAATGAAATGGTACTTTATGGGACGTTGTAAGAAGAATGTATGGTATCCTTCGCCAAGAGACGAAACTTTATATGATAATACAATGTTTGATATAACATGTATTGTGTTTTCCTCGCTTGAAATTTTTCCATGAAGGAATGATTTATTTAATGTATCCATCTTGGCATGCTTCTCTTATATATTATATATATATAAGAATCACCCCCTTTCCGCTTGTACCACCAGTTACCAACCACCCTATATATATATATACATATATATTATGTTCTGTATATATGTCAAGTTGTAACATACGAAGAATTTCTTTTCTTCCATTGAAATACATATGTATTCTGTACGAAGTAAATATTTTTTGATACGAGGTGGATACAAAATTTAAAGCATTCAAATGGATATTTAATATAAGATTCCAATCTTATAAATAGTTATAACAATCTGAGTTTTTGATACATAGCAAAATCACGAAATTTGTACAAATGAGCTGGGTTGAAATCGATGTGAATCGAAATAAGTTGAATTTGGAGAGATTGATTAGTTTGTCGAAGGAAATTTCAGTTGGCGAGATTAATTGCTTAACTTCAAAACTAGAAAAATGTTCAGACTAAGTCGCTGGAGAATAGGTAGATTTCTCACTTAGCGTTCAGTGAATCGGGGAATCAAGAATCATTTTAACGAAACTCTTTCCAGTTTTTGTTTTACGATCTTTTATTCGATTACCTCTTCTATTCCGATTGTCTTAGAATACTGATGCTCTTAGAAAATGTATTTTCGCTGTGTGCCAACCATGCGACGAGATTGCCAGCATTCGTCTCTTTTCAAAGGAACGAGTCTCTTCAGTTTTCTCACGAATAGCGAATACAGTGCTTTGTAATATCTGCCGTAAGTAACGGATCCTTTCTAAGAGAAAGCAATATTGACTCTCAATATTGCCTTATAAACTAAATGAGACGTGGAAATATTATTAGGAAAGATATTGTACGGCGAGGATAGTATTATCTGTTAAACGTATAATGAATTTTTGACGTCATGTGTATATATTTGTTATAAGCTGCTTTTATTTCAGATCTAAATATTATTCGATCATTTGAACGATACAATTTTTACGCGAATCATCTTGTACTTCGTTATTGCCATATTTGATTACTTCCCTTCCTTCGCATCAAGTAGACACCTCAAAATCTGAGCGCAAAAGGAAATTTTATGCTAGACTGGTGAGTTGTGAACCAGTTTCATTATAACAAACAAGAGGCTGATTCTGTATGTCAAGCTTCCACATCCGTGCGTAGAAATGGATATATAATAAACGGCCTATGCGTGCCACGTAAACCATCGGACACAGTAGCCATTATTAATTATCCGCCAGTGTACTCCATCAGTGGCTAATCAATCGGGAGTTGGTGACTAATGGGTGTGAATCTAATGGCCTACACGAAACAGATCGAGCATTCCTGTGGACAAGTATTCGATAAATGACGACTCCACTTACCGTTAGAATTCATCCATTCGTTCCTTGCTCTATGTTCATCATGTTAACGACGATATCTCTTTTTGCTTTAATACCCACAATGGTCGAAAAACTGAAATCATTTCACGTTTGATTTTTTCGTTTAATTATACACGATTCGGAATATTTAATTATTCGCGAAAAATACGTATCTGTAAATGACAAAGAATGGTTCAATTTGAAATACATATAACCATTTATCATTATTAATCGGAATAAACATTTTAGAAGGGAAAGGGATGTTCATTTTGTTTAACGGAATGGTATTTTATTAGATTAGTATGTTTTATAAAAATTATAAATCAGCCTATACTATTCCGAAAAATGGTAGATTATGAAAGAAAATTGACAAATAATAGAATCTAAAATACATGAAGGCGTCAGTGTGCAGATATATATATACTATTACTAAAATATCATAATGTATGGAAAAGTATATTGCTAGCCCTATCGATTAGTTCTTTGCATCTTTACTTGTCTTGGCCAAGAAAAACTGGAAATAGCAAAATGAAGAATCCCACCAAAAGTTTGCAATTTGCCAAATCGCCTCGTATTTTCCGCAAAGTTGCGCTAACTCTAAGCGAAAGTCTAGAAAATTTCCACGAAAACTTTGCCGTGAAAGATATTAGCACCGTAGAATTGACAGTGCATGGTCTATGCGAAGTTACTAAACTGTTAAACAAAGTTACGAGTAGTAGGCACCTGCATTTTTAAAATGCATTTTACGTAACATTCCGGCGTTTTTTCATTTTTCCTTTAATATTACAAAAAAATCTGAAATGCAATAAAGTACCGAACTTTTGTTTCGTGTGAAGTTTAACAAAGTAATAATTTGATAATAACTTAAGGAGAGAAAACAAATTTCACTGCGATACATTTTACGTGTAAATTAATTTCGTACCTTTTTGAACCAAATTAAAAAGTGAATGAATCTAAAAGTAAAAATTAATTTAGTAAAAATATCGAGGTATACGTATATCCTACTTATAGGATCAATAATGTAAACTAATGATTAAGTGAAGGGATAGTAGAAGGGATAGATAGTCGAATAGTAGATTATATGAAATCAGTGGTTCGAGTTGATTGAAAATTTTCAAGGGATGTTTTAAAATAAAATTTTTCAATTACAGGAATGGAACGATGTGAACATGAGATGGAATACGTCGGATTACGGGGGAGTGAGAGACCTCAGGATTCCACCACATAGACTTTGGAAGCCTGACGTTCTCATGTATAACAGGTAATTTAACGCTGCCTTCATCTGTTTAATATTCATGGAACAATCTACTTTATATCGTGCATGCTCATAACTAACAATAGTTTGGACAATTTTTTTCGCGGACCTTACGTAAGTTTTTCTTATTTCTATGTTAAAATATACAAACATGATATACGCATATTTATGAAACGATTATAATAAAATATTGCTGTATTCATTGATTTTTCAATAAACCAATAAATTGGTTTCACGAATGAGCGAAGTGAATAAAATAAAAGAAATATTATTTCCGGTTCACTTCAATTCAACGGAATAAGAATTCTGTTCTGTCATTCAATTTTCATCATGTCTGAGATTGACATAAAAAATGTTCTACTTGAATACTTTTCTATACAATAACTAATGAAATAGAATCTTTGGCAGATCCTTTTTAAATAATGATCGTTATTATTTACAAGCGCTTTGCTTTTAAACAAAAACAAAAACGCATAATATATATTGTTAAGATTTGTTAAAAAATAAACCAGTTAGTTACGAAGCCATTAGACGAGATATGTTGAATACTCGTGTAGAATTCCAGAAAAGTAGGTTTTCCAAAAAAATGTCGCTCCCCTCGCGAAATATTATTGCCAGCCTCTGTGTTCGCAATTTCTAGCCGTCTACCAAAAATTTTAGTAAACTCGATAAAAATGATTCAACAATTCCTGTATGTCAATTCTCTTTCACTTGACCCAGAAACGACTACATACTTGTATTACGAATACGTTCATAAATTCTCTCCTCCACGTAAAGTCAATGATATTTTGCATACACAAGTTCACGTGCTGATGCTTACGCCAAATTTCTTACCATATTTAGAGGGCTGCACTGCATTCCACCGGTATGCTACTAGTATATGTAAACTGGAAATATTGATTATGTAAGCATGTTTTCGTAATTGATCTTATGTAGCATCAATATAGAATTACGATAGGATTCTGTAATGTGTCAATAGATTAACTAATCGATCGGTTTGCCCGGTTGTTAATCCAACATCTAATATACATGGCAAAATTGAAAAAGCTTCGTTGCAAATAAATCGTCTTCTTAAGGTCGGTTACAGGATTAACTTTTTTAAGTATAGCACGATAACGAAGTGATATGGTCCCTGGGTTGAAACATTAATTTTGACGTTGAAATATTATTTGATGTCTCATTTGATAAACGATCGTGACAGATATTGGATTGTTCGGAAAGTTCATAGCGTTCTTGTTCATTGAGATATTCTGTTGTGTATTTAATGATATTGGAAGAGGATTGTTTGTTATAATCTTCTGTCAGATGCTGAGTTCAAATAGATATTAGTCTTATTGCTAGATATTAAATACATACGGTCGTTGAGAAAAACAACCTGGAATTATTCTATAAAGGTTTCAATGAAATTTTTCAATTTAATAACATTAGTGAACACAAATTAATGATCAGCAGCAACCTATGTTATGATTACCTTCAGGACATGCCATTACTAACTGACCGTAGTAACATGGTAATAATTGTTAATCGCCTTCATTACTACGAATGCAGCTTTAATTGCATCGATGTGGACATTCCACTATTTTCTGTGCATTATTTAACGCGCTACCACATGTTTACGAGCTCCCAACACATAATTACGTTTCTACGCCAGAACCGATATTAAACGGGTATCTACATAACATCGCGCCAGGTCAGTTTCATTTTTAGAAAGCGTTGTCGATGTCGTCGATCTATTAATTGTTCCACAAAACCTATGAAATTCAGTATACGGCATCGCTTTAATTGATCACGCGTAAGGAACATATTCTACCTAATTGCAGGAAATTTTTACTTTACTCCGTTGAAGAATCCCTCGACAAAGCGTTACATACTGCCTGTAATCTTGGGGAAAACAAGAACCTGGCAAAGTCCTATTCATTTTTTAATATCCCTCAAAGATGCCCTTTAGGATGATTTTGAATTTTTGAACTCTTCACCCAATTAACGCCGACAATTTTTATGATACCAGAAAAAGGTTCCAAAGTTTTTAAAGTTATTTACGCAGTAGTCGTAAATTTTCCATTAATTTGCAACGAAAACTATAACAACAGAATAGAAACTAATGAATAATTACAAATTTTCAAGCGATAATGAAATTTATCGAAAGCAGAGGAACATTTATCGTTAATGTTATGTTTTTTCATGAATTTGAACCAGCTTTTACACCGGAACCACGCTAATTAATATATTACGTATTTACAATAGTTGTAACGTGCATTTCAACGTGACAAAGTTTATTTGGAAAATCGTGCGAATTTCTCACTTGCCGGTGTCGTTTACCGCGCAAAACTATTAATTTCAGAGCGATATTTAACAATACATTTCGAGCGGAATGGGTGGTGGTAGACGCCATACATTTAAAGTGAATGGTTGCTGGCCAACTTCCGCTGGTACAATTGGCCTCAAACGCAGAGACCAATATTAATCTTGGTGCGCGTGTAATTCCAATGCCAATCGTGAGGTCACTCTCGAAGATGATGCACGGTTGAATCGCGTTGAGGATCGATCAATTAGTCGCTTAGTCGCTTCGTCACGTCGCGTTTCTCGTGTGTTCCACTTTTCACCCAACCAACAACTAAACTAGACGTTCTCGTTTATTACGTTGTACTTCTGTGCGCGACGCTGAATCCAGAATAAGATATATTAGAAGAAACTGGTTGAGCGAGGGAAATGGGATGAAATGTTCTCTCTTATAGTTTTGTTTGCGATGAATAGCAGAGTTGTTTGTACCGACTTACTGTGAACAATGCTCGTCATCAGATCGCGAAATTGATAAAGGCCCGATCGATACGTGATCAAGAAATTGTTAAACAATCAAGCTGACAAAACTAGACAAACAAGAGGGAAAAGAAAATATCTTACTTCTAAATTGTTGAATTATCTAATTATCATTTTCATAATCGTAACGTTATAAAGCAATTTTTAGTAATTAAAGTTGATTGAACCGAAAATATTGCACTAGTTCAATGTTTACCCTCGATGGATCAAACGCGCTTTCGAAATAAAAATCACAAATTTCGTAAAGTAAACGGTGACACGACAGTTTACTCCCTCTTTTACGCGACTTTTTTACCTCGAATCTGTCGGAAAAACGCGTCAGGGAGAGAGAAAAAAAGGTTTATCGAGACAGTCAATCCGCTAAGAACGATCTAGATTCTGAACTATCAGAAGTTCGTGGTGGCTGGTATGTGGGGCAAAAGTGGGACGTTGGGCCAAGTGGGTCAGTCGCATTAAAAACAAAGCCACCGCCACCATTTAAAGGGAATCAGGAAAAGTATCTCCCCCCGCACGGAAATATATTGTCGGAAAACGCTTGCGGCCCCTATTATTTTTAAGTAGGTAATGTATCGGCTTCGGGTCGGCATTGTATTTGTCGAATCAAAAAGTTTAGTTTAAGGCGCATTAAAAGCAACGGATCTAGCCAGCTTCGCTTTCAGGTGTTACGACCGTTCGCGGAGAGACGCGGTCGCGAGGAAAACGCGTCAGCGAGAGGCGTAAATTCTTGCTACGATTCTGCTAATCGACGCCGCGAAATAGTCGTTCCCCTGTTTCGATTAAGATAACAGCGGTAGTTCAATGAATTTAACACTGTATTAACAGGTTAACATAAAATGGTATATTTGACAATATTTAACAATAATATGATGAACACGCCACAAATTGTTTAACAATGAATACAGTAAATATGTTACAGAAAGTCGACCCGACTTTACGATATCTCTCAATGAATTCGTTAGACTATGCGACCTTAATTTCGATCATTTCTTTGTCTTGTCTGGGAGACGACCCCCACTACGCTTGGGTCACGCCACCGTTCGCGCCTATGATCATGTATACCACCTTCTTTATGTGTATGACATAACGGACCGAAATCGACGTTTCCAGAACTCGCTGCTTGGTGACAACTATGCGCTCGTCGATACATTGTATATGTTCCGTCGGGCAGATAAGACGATCCGTCTGCGACACTGTAGGACCGCGAGCGACGGTTAGAAATACGGCCTATAGTAAGCCTCGTGGCATAACACCAGGAGAATCGTAACCGCACGTCGAAACTACTTTTCTACGCAGTCGCCAGACTTTCTCATGCCTTTTCGTTGTATTGCTTCCTTATCCCGCGTGCTACGCTTTCTTTTGAAACGATTTTGACATCTTGGCAGCTAGCAGCTATTCACTACCATTACTAGCTTCTATGCTGTCAGTTTTATCACAGTTCATTCGTTCTGTATCCGTGGCATTTTCTGAACAATAATTTGATGTGTCGGATGGAGTAGTATAGTCGAGGATAGGACGAACGATCAAGGTTTTAACATACAGGCAAACCTTATTATATTCATGGTCAAACCTCTAATCGTACTGTCTATTAACTTTTGATTGATAGTATATTAACACATATCCTTAACCTAATTTTTAAATTCGGGTGTTCTCGGATTTTTAATAATCTTTTATTTCACTTTATTAACCGCTACAATTTTATTTTAGCAAGCATTTTTTCATACCAGTAACAGAACATCACTGTTTATCTCTGTAATTAATTAAAGCAGATTTAAATCTGCATGATCGTCAATTATGTCATTGCGTCATTAAAGATATCAGGGAAGGCTACCCCCACTGTGTACCAAGTACAATAGCATAAAGTAATTTTCTCTGGAACTGGAAAATAAACGATATTTTTTGCAACACAATTTGCAATAAATCCTTGTTCCGTTGAACAGTATCAGCTGACGGTACACTTACGTGAGCATGTAACTTATCGTTTGCGGTTTTATAAATTATCATCCACTTCACCGGGATCTAGCAACATCTCTCCTTCATATTAAGGTACCAGTGAACATTTTGTATGTTACGATTTAATAAATTAAGTAAAAGAAATGCAAGGAAAGTTCAGTGCTTCTAGTCAATATGCGTTCGACGCACCACAAACATAATTTCATTGTATTTAAAAGAAAGCAGTAAAACTTGCTCAC